CAAAGTAAGTTTGCCTGGGGCCGTTTACAGAAACAAAACACAATTTCATGGGAATATTTATTGCAACAGATACAGCAAGTGTCCAGCTATTTTTCAACATATTCGCCACCGGAATTGAGACATTTGTCATACCGTGGGACCAACTTTTAATACCTGTGTCGTAGAAGTCTGCCGCCTGGGATTGGAACCACTGTGTGACAGCCATCTCCGCCTCTCTGTCATTCTCAAAACGCTGACGCTGACGCTGACCGGACAGGAATTTCTTGAGGTGTAGGAAAAGATGGAAATCACTGGGAGCGAGGTCCGGGCTGTAGGGTGGATGATTAAACACCTCCCAGCTGAACTCCTGCAGGAGACTTGCTGTCCGTCGAGTCGTGTGCGGCCTAGCGTTATCACTGACCGCACTTCACAGTCGGCGGGAGCTGGAATAAGAACCTCCATCTTCAACAGCTGCAACGATGCTACTGTGAGAACGCGGGAAGTGCCGTTAGTGCATGCGCCATGCTACGTCATTGCTCTATCACGTACGCACAGTCGCTTCGCGCAATATAAGGTTTGCTACCTGTGGGACGAGTGGGAAACTTACTTTGTGGACGCGCCTCGTACATATTTAACAAGAAAACGTGGCACAATATCCACAGAATTCTATTGTCACAAAGCGTTTCCTTGTCTGAGCTCGTGTATGATCTGAAACGTTCATTAATTGTGTGCAATGAATTAAAGTGATGGTATTTGTTTTTATAAATTTCACAAGGACTTAAATTGTCATCTCAAAACTTACTATGAGCTTATGTTCATGGTTTCAGTGTTACAATAAATAAAGCCTACTATTACTGTCCTAAATACTCTCACAAACACTCCTGTGTGTTGGATTGAATACAGTTGTCTAATGTTATCAAGAGAAACTTCTTTCATGATTAAATATTCGCATGGAATACGAACATGGTTGTGATGTACTTATGTCCGTCCAGTTAAAAACATCATTACAGCCTGGGAATTACTGATTAAAGAATGTCATGCACCGTGTGAACGACGGATTAAACGTACAATTTGATGCATGCGTCCCTCTTTAAGGCTGGGAAGCATCAGCACATTATTTGTTCGGGCGTCACTCCACTAGCTATTTCGGTTTGTGCTTCAGACAGTTCAGGCGTGAAATTAAAAGACCTTCGTAGAATGTGGCATGTAAAATGGAATAAAAATCTGCAGCTTGTATAAAAAAGGAATAAAGATATTCAGCATAAAATATACCAAATTAGTTTACTTTGAATAATCAGGTACTTCATTATTCTTTAATTTCTAATATTATCACCCTAAAAATTCGTTAAGTTTCTACAACTACTCCATACATGTGTAATGAGTGTATGCTAGACTAATGTAGGTTATTCTAAACGATTTGTCTTTGAAACTCCTTTTTCATCGCGTAGCTCCGTAACAGAACATTAGCACGAACTCTTGGGAAATTTTTAGGATGAAATGAACAAATATAGATCAGATTTGCTAGACACTCACCATTTAGTACTTTAAAAAGACTGTGTCATGATCACTGCCTCTTGTTTTATAGCGATTACCTACAGAATAACTTTCAATTTGGTTGAAATTCTTACTTGATTCGAATTTTAAGACCACTAGCGGCTTTAAACGTTATGCCTCTATTTCTGGGTTTTGGAATGGTCTGTAACGTCATAAGCATTACGAAAATGCTTCGCCGGAACACGGTCGTTTCGCCTAGTGACATCTTCACAGCATTACGGTACGTGAAACCAATTCCCATGTTAATGTAGCAATTTTGCGGTTCAGACGCCATGCAGTATTCAGCCTTCGGTCTGTCTCTCTGGAACTAATACTACCCTCACAACGTCGTCCTTGTGACCTTACACTTCCTGCCATGCTGATACCATTATGATACATGTTCCGGGTTCAAATATGGGCCGGGCAAGACACAAGGTATAATAACCGAGAATTTTAGGGATTTTCCTCAGTTCCTGTAGATTTAAACAACATATACTACAAGTTATAGCAATACGCCCATACATTCTTACTTGAGTATAGTCCTATAAGAATATACTTATTTAATCATCAAATAAAATAGAGTTGTTAATATCAGAGCACCAGACCAATGACTCTTACTGTTAAAATGGGTGGTTAGTATTTTTGCTTCGTATTCGGGAGGTTCCAAGTTCAATAACAGCCTGCATGTTGGTCATCCTCACCGAGTCCATTATGGTTTTCCTCAGTGCCTCCATATGAATGCTGGGATAATAAAATACTATGATTTGTTTCCTTCCACCCACTTTTAAATTCATCATTTAAAATCATCCTTTGTAAACGAGAAAGCGTTGTTAAACAAACAAATCAGACGCAACGCTAAAAATAATGATTATGAATTAAACAGAAATGCATATAGATGGGCACAGGTGGATCAACGTGATAATTTTTTATCATCAGGGACCGGAAAAAAGTGTGTGACAGCGAAAATGAGAAACATGATTAACAGAGTGATATCGGCAAGCTCTGTCTCGCTTTGTATGGTCACGCGTGCGTTTGTTCTGGATGCCTTCTGTCGAGTAGTTACTAAATGATCAAAAGAATTATTAATTGGCTTCGTTTCCAAGCGTCACAGAAGAAAACCAATTTAACAGTCGTTAAGTGGGAAAACCGAAGGCTTTCACGAGTTATTTTATGCAGAGGCGTAATTAATATAAGCTGCTGAAATCTAGTCACTGATACAAAATAAAGCAAAGCTATCCCTCTGCAGAAACGATACGAAAAAGCGGTCCTTGTAAATATTTGACAGCTGGCTGGGTGTATGCCGGAGCCAGGATTAGAACACCAGCCGCCCAGTTCGCACTTTATTCAGAGGGCATTTCATTTAATTTCTCCCCTGAAATAGCTTAATCTTACACTTTTACACTTTAGCCCACCTTTTGAGAACATCGAGTGATCGATGTGTTGTTTCAAGTGTAGGACTACCGAATAAGACCTGAAGACACTGCGTTAAGATTTAGAACATTCGAGGTTATTAGGCCCATGCCTAACCCCAAATACGGTGGACTTCCCCTATTCGGCTCTTTCCTACTGCTTATTCAATGCATTCGAGCTAGAATCCATATCACGACGTCTTATCCTCCTTGAAGTGCCACACCGTGATAACAAGGGACAATGTAGGATTTGAGGTTCTCACGGCGATAAGTCTGAAGATGGCTGTTTTCTGGTTTCTTGCGCAGTATAGTCTGGTGGAAACTTACCGACGTTTCAGAGGTCCTTGCTGCCTCCATCATCATGGCGATCGCCCTGATGATGAAGTCAGACTACACGGCGCAACTACCCAGAAGACAACCAGCTTCACAAGGGACAATGTTTGTGGTGTTCTACAGATACACCACGTCTGAAACACTAACAGATTTTGCTATTATCATTAGCTATCAATAAAAAAACTAGCTATAAATAGGCACAGAAAACTGTAAGAATTGGAGCTGCTGTGTTCCATGCTACCTGAAGCAACTGTGACAGGCAGAAGATAAATCCGATTCAAACTGATACATAAACCCACCTGACGTCAGAAGCAGAGCAGGAAATCTTTTCGTAACCCGCATGTTCACAAAACCTTTTGCCCTGTAATATGTTTCGAAGGTGTCTTCCTGGAAGGGACATGAATTCTTGGAATTTAGAAAGTGTTTTCCTGTGATACTTTAAACTGCAACATGTTCGTACCGCTTGTTCAATAAGCAAAAATCAATTATTATTGTATCAGAAATTTACCATAACATTTCCTTGCTATAATATATTGCACATACATTTCAGTCCTATTGAACTGTCATCAGTGTATGCCTTATCGTACACTTTACACATTGTTCGGATGCACAACTTTCGTACTAACACTGTTGTGATATAAAGAAACATTCTTGAAAAAAAATCAACCCTCGAAATTAGATGCATGTCAAGTCGGTTTCTTAATTAATTAGTCTGTAAAACAAACACCAAAAAACACAATTTAAGTGAAATTCGGT